CAGGGCAACCGTGCCTCGGTCTTCCTGTAGTCAGCGCTGGTCATTTTCAGCAACGGCTGACTTGGGGACGTCTGGGGCAGAGCAGCTGGAGCAAAGCCTCAGAAGCGGGGGACCCCGCCGCTGCTGCGGGTTTGCTCGCGGTGTCCCTGGTCTGCTGGGGACCATCTCCAGCAGACCAGGGGCACCTGCGGCTTTGCTCCCGATGTCCCTTAACATAAGGGACCAGGGGCAGACCAGGGGCACCGGGAGCAGCTTTTCTCGCCCCAGAGGTCGAGGTGGCTGACCGCTGCCTGTGAGCTCCGGGGCGAGAAAGCCCCGTTCATAAGTTCGTAACTCGGGGACTGCCTGTATTGCTGTTCATACCCCTGTAGTTTGATCTGTGGGATAGTGTAGACATGTCCAAAGAAAGAGGGCTGCTTGGCTAGTTTCATGCTTAGATAACACTCTGAATAGCTGCATTGACCCAAGGGATTGTACTTACCAAGAAGGTAGGGGAGACTGCATAAACTTTTCAGCATGCTTAGCCAAATTTTTGAGGGCCAGCAGGAGTATCAGAACAAGTGTTGCTATGGATTTACCTGCTGGCTGCTCCATTTTGAGCATTTCTGTACCTAGGGATGCAGAGAGGGAGTAGTTCTTTTGGTTTAGTTTTAGGGTTGAATATCTATTCCACTTGATTGAGCAAGTGCCCAGGGGAAAAGAATGGGCAGTTACTCTGAGTTGAGCGAAAGAAGTGTGTGTGTTGTTTAAAAAAAAAAAAAGCCTAGGGAAAACAGCTGCAAGAATGAAACCGCATGGACCTTAGCTATTGATTATACTGCCCCTAAGGTGGAACGTAGTGTAGACAGTGGGTATGGGTTATGTTAAGATAGTAGTAAGGATGGAGCAGTGAACTTCAAAGATGCCTGAGGTGATTAGGGTAGAGAGACTTTTAATATCCTGAAGGGGGAAAATTATAGTGACCTGGATAGAAGGCCAAGTCACCAAGATGTAATCCTGTAGCTCAGGGAGTATGGAAAGGCTGCTTAGAGAGGGAATGGGACAAGGGGGCTAAGAAACCACAAGAGGTGTCAAACCATTGATGACCTTATTTCCAAATGAACCACAAGGAGGTGCCCGAGTGAGGAGTGCTTCAAATCCCTGGCAGTTAACAAAAACAACAACAAAAATTCTGTTCCTAAGTTGTTCTTCAGGGTTATGCTGGATTCAAAGTGGCAGAAGGCTACCTTTTATTATTCTATACTAAGAAAGTCTTATTAAATGTTCAAATTCTATTCATCTAGGGTGTGTCTAGACTACAGGGTTTTGTCGACAAAAGTGGACTTTTGTCGATAAAACTATACCTGAGTCCACACTGCCTTTGAGTTATGTAGACATAACGTCGACAAAACTCAGCAGTTTTGTCAACGTATGTAAACCTCATTCTACAAGGAATAACGTCTTTTGTCGACAGAGTTCTGTCGATAGAAGGCATTATTGCATCTACACTGTCCTTTGCGTCCACACTGTTATGTCGACAAAGTGGCTTGCTTTGTTGACAGACCTGGATGTAGTCTAGATGCTCTTTGTCGACAGAAAGCTTTGTCGACAGTATCTGTCGACAAAACTTCTGTCGACAATACGCTGTAGTCTAGACATATCCCTAGTGAAACCAAGAAAACAAACGGTGTGTAACAGATGTACATAATGAAATCTTAACCAATCTATGACACAATACATATCCACCCAACAGAAACCATAACTCCATTATCCCAAGTTCTGATTCAGGAAAATTACTTTAGCATGTGATTAGCTTTAATTTTAAATATGTGAGTAGTCCATGTAGTGAGTCTTCTAATTAATAAATATACAGTAAACACATACTTAAATGGGTTCCTGTTTTAGGGCATCAGGGAAAATAGCCAGCAAATCCTGGCTAAACCTCTCCAGTCTGGCACTCTCTGATCTGTCAACATCCATGGTACAATATGATTTTAGTTAGCCAGATGTCCACTTATCATGGGTGTGTTCAAGTTTCCTGTGGCCCAATAAAGTTTGTTTACAGCCAGCAGTCCTGCCCTGAGATTTCTGTGCTATTAATTAGTTCTAATTTACCCCTACATGACTTTTAAGAGCCCAGTAAGCAGTGGAAGTGTTGGTAATGCTGCTGGACAATACTGACCTCCTGTGGTTTGGCAAAATCTCTGGTTTGGCACTAGTCTGGTCCTGAGGGTCCCAGAATAGAGAGGTTCAACTTGTTTATATAAAGTGAGGATCTCAAATGTCATGGAAATCAGTCATCTTTCTTTGTTTTTTCTTGTCTTGGCCACTGGGAGAGCCAAGACCTAGATGGGCCATAGATCTGATCCAGTAATTCAGTTCTTAAGTTCTTAGTCAATTGGTGTATTTTGTGACATACTATTTTTAGATGGTATTTCCTACAAGAAATGTAGCTCACTAATAAGGAGAGGAAAGAAACTGTGTGGGTTTTCTTTTCTTAGAATACAGTATAATTTGCATGGACATTTTCCTTTTTTTAAACCAAAGAAGAAAATCTAATTGTAAAAAGGCCATATTTAAAATGCAAATGTTTCTAAATTAAAACCTGTGTGTCATGAGAGAGGCAATGGAGCTGCGTTCTTCATGTGCATGATTATTTTCTGTGCAGGGTTACCGCCTCTCTGCTTCGATACCAAAGCCTTTAAATAGCAGAATGAACATCTCACTCCAATGGTGGATGCACATTTAGCAGTTGTTTCAAAGACTCAGTATCATATTTAAATCGTAAAATACTGTAAGACAAGTGGCTGTAATTTAATTATTTTGCATTGGCATTTAATTGTTAAATAGCAAGTGGATTAGTATATCAAACTATGTAAGATTTAAACATAGTGAATAGATTTTTTGACCCCCACTGAAGTCAATGGCAAAATTCCTGAAGATTTTAAGAAAGCCAGGATTTCACCAATTTTGTTTATGCGCATACTTCTGCTTTCTGTATTCCAACACACTGATCAAGAGTACTAGTTGATAGGGCCAGCTGACACCTTGTGTACTGCTCTAAGCTTCCAGCCAGCTGGAAGGATGTTGTAAGCCAGGTGTGTATGAAGGAGCAGCAATGGATGCTGCATTGCAATGTGCTGATTGCTACACCACCCATTCTTCCCTGCCATCTTGTATCACTATCTCCACATCTTATTCATAAGTCCTTAATAGGGTTGCCAGATGGTTTTACCAAAAATACTAAACTTCTTCCCCTCTGGCCCGCCCCCAAAAAACCCCACTGTTAAGGAAAAAAAAAAGGGAGAGACCAAAGCTGTTGACAACCAAAGCTGTCCGGGTCAACACTAGAGACCTGGCAACCCTAGTCCTCAAGAATTCCCTTGATAATCACAATGATAGAAGAACCTCAGACAGTTTAGAGGTTTGATTTGTTTCAGAGAAGCAGCATCCAAACATATGGAAGGTTATTGAAGTATTTATGTTAAAATACAGATCTTCAGCTCTTTCTAGAATGTTTCCTGGTTTTGTTATATTGGGATGCCCACAAGGCCAGCATTTTGATATCTTCGATTATAACAAACTAATAACACCATTATACTCACTAATTTTTCACTTTCTTCTTCAAAGATCAAGATTTAGTTTGATCTATGGGCCAAATTTTGGATTGTATCATATTTTATCTTTCCTAAGTTGAATAATTGTTATTTAATAGTGGGCATTAAATCAACTAATATAATTTTAAATTACAGATTGGGCCAACCTGCAGAGTGGCATTCTAAACTACCCTTCCCCAAAGTTTGACAAAGTTCAGATCAGAAGTTTTGGATTAGGTCTATCCAATAGTCAAAGGGTACGTCTACACTACAGCGCTAGTTCGAACTAACTTAGTTCGAATTAGTTAAATCGAACTAAGCTAGTTCGAACTAACGCATCTAGAACTAAAAACTAGTTCGAACTAGCGTTTTGCTAATTCGAACTAGCAAGTCCACATTGAGTGGACTCTGAACAGGGCTTAAGGATGGCCGGAAGCAGTGCCGGCAGGGCATAAAAGGAGGACTTAGAGCATGGAGA